AGGTAGCATTGATGAAGTCGCACACTGCTGTATTTATAAAAAAGCATTCTAATTTCTTCCAATTCAACTGCAACTCTTGAGTTACGGTAAGCATGTCATGCCGAAATACCAGAGCTTCCTCGAGCCCAGCACGACTTTGTTGCAGATAGTTATGTTGCTCTTTTAGTGTCTGCAAGTAACTGGTGGCTAGGGACACACAAACAAACTAGTTGTTTATCAGAGACAGGGGAGCCAGGGGGAGGGGCGCCAAACGAAAAGGGCCACCCCTGTAGTTCAGACGGATGGAACTTTCTAGAAGCTTCCACATCCGCCCTACATCTGCTTGTGTATTAATAACTATACTTTTCATTGAACTACTAACCGCCCATTTCAATCAGTCAATAATAGAAGCTAGTCAGATATACCCACCCTCCCACTTGCAACTACCGCCTCTTCATAGCCTTCATTCTCAAAATAACGCTCGAACCGGTGCAATCTTTGCCTTCGGGCCTGGCTTCACTGAATTGGAATGGGTTCCAGCCCGAGGCGGTCACCATGACTTTATTACGTTCGTCTACTTTTTCCCCTGATCTCTTGGTGGAGCTCCAGCCTACCGCTGGGCTGCGTGCGAAAATGTCACGACTGGCACAGGCATCTTTGGCCGGCTCGTCATCGGAAACGGCAGCGAAGCGTCCACAGGTTGCAACGCGTCACCATCGCCACTGCTTGCGCCGCCACTACCTCGTGCTTACCGTCTTCGTTGCCTCCGTCGCCGCCATTACCTTCGCCGCCGTCGTCTCAGGCGCTTGTTGGATCTCCTGCGGCATCGCCCGCTTCTGCACGTTGGCCGGTTCCACGCCGCCCACCACGCCTTCGGCACCTCTGTACAACGGTTCGATGGTGTCGGACGTGTCTGACGAGTCGATTTAAACCGCCTGAAGAAACGGCATTGTGGTACGCTTTTCGGTAGCTCGGATGAAGAATCAGCGGAGGATGACTCGGAAGGTCCGCCCGCGGCACATCCAACATCTCCCACTCCATCAGCTAGCGGTCTATTCGATGATGACAGCGATGAGGAGCCAAGCCTGTTGGTGGACTCAATCGCCTGAGGCTTAGTACCGACTCTGGTGACTGGCACCCGTACGCCTTGCCTCCTGTCCCGGCAAAGCATCCTGCGAACGGCTGTGCCAATCACTACGATCCACCAGCACCTTCGGATTACTCCGTTCCAGTCAACGTTGAGCAGTTGCACGACGTTCGCGGCGAATATCCGCATCGGTGCTTTATCGTGGAATGGCAAATTACGCCGCTTCAGTTGAGTGGGTATGGGAGGAGCAACTCGCCCAACGATTCGCTCGCCGTATCGATCATGGTTCCCGGGTCACGGGCGGTTTGACTGCAGTGTCTGGACCCATCACGAGAACAACAACGCAGTGTCCGACGAGGTCATTACCAATACTCGTGAGGGACACTATCTCATGCAGTGTTTGGACAAACATCTGGAACCGTTCCACATTCGTGTATGAAGCATCAAGTGGACTCTGAAAGAGAAGATCGTAATCCAACGGAAAATAGCTGCGCTGAAGAACGCGAAAGAACTACGTAGCTTCCGCACGAGAAACTCCGTCGACAGTGCCTGGATGTTCACGCTCGAAGTTCACCCATAGTTCAGTAGCCGTGGATGCAAGACCTGGGTCACCAAGGTGATAAAGCGCCGCGCGAAACGCATCCATGAAGCAGCCACCAGCAGGAGAAGCCTGGTCACGACGCGCGAAATGCTTCTTGTAATAATTGACAAATGCACCAGGGCGCAGATCTTCACACCACTGCATTACCATTGTCCAACGTGGAGTATCTCGACAAGGTCAAA